AAACAAGTATTTAAATAACATTAATAAATCATATTAACATTAATTAAAATCATCAGAATTTAAATATATTACCTCAATATTATTAATGCTAGAATTAATTATTGCAGATAAACAATCTTTTTTTTGCTGTTCAGAAGGGTGCGAATAAATTCTAACAGAACTTTCACTTTTATGCCCAGTAATTGACATTAAAGTTGAATTAGGTGTTCTGAGTTGATATAAATGTGTAATTGAAGTAGTATGACCTGAATGATTGACTATATTTTAGCTTTCAATATTAATTTCATAGGATTCGCAAATCTGCCTTAGCATAGTATTAATCGAATAATCATCAAGTCTTTTATCTTTGTACTAGATATCTCCTAAAATTTTAGTATATTGATATACATATAATAATGATAATTAACAATTATTTAATTTTTGAAAATCGGAATAACAGGTTTTTTTTTGACAGTGTTTTATTAATTACCAATCAGATTTTTTGCTAATTGAAGAAGCAAATTTGGCGAAGCACAATTATCAGGTCGTTTAGAAAAGTAAAGACGAATATCATAAACGGGTCTACATTTTTCAAGAGGATCTGATAGAATTGGAATACTAGTTGCATTACCATTATTATCTAAGCCTCCTTGATCATTTTTCTGAGACCACTTTGTAAAAATAATTCTACCATCAGTAAGAAATTTAAATTGAGAAACTTTCATTTAGCCATGCTCACCACCCCATGGTGCACAAAGCATACACATCCACATAAATATTTTATATTGTAACCCTTGAGCATGCGATGCTGATACTTTCGGATAGTTAAATATAAGAGTAATCTCTTTCTCAGTTAACGGATAATGAAGTTGTAGAATAATTCTATTTTGTTTTAACTGTTTTATTTTTCTATCTAGTGTATTTCACAAATTTCTAAAATCATCTTTTTGTGATAATTTAAATTTAGTAGGGCTAGCTTGTGTATTATAGATCTATTGACTTAATAGGATTAATGCATTTTTCAGAGAAGAAGGTGAATATTCTTTTCCACTTTTAAGTTGCCATATACCAACTATAAATTTTTGCATTTCTCATTCAAGTTGTGCCTTGTCTGTTATTGTTTCAATATCATAATTGTAGCTAACTTTTTTACGCTAGTTTCTAAGTACATTAACTCATTTCTCAATAGATTTTGTAGTATTAGCTGAAACCCGTAAGTTAGTAATTTGATCTAATTCTTCAGTTGATAGTAAGTAACTTTCTTGAGAAGAATTTGTATGCTATATATATAAATGTATTTTTTTTTTTAATATAATATATATTTTATAAATTTAAATTTTTAAATTAATTTAAAAAATATTACTTTATATTTCGCAACCTTAGGCATGTTTAAATTAAATGAGATAATCAAAAAAGTTTTACGAAATGCAAAGTTTATATTTATAGTAAAAAAAGTTTTATACAGATCGTCATGGCCAGAAGGATAATACCGTTACTGAGCACGTAAGCTACCAATAACTGCTTTATTCATCGGAGATTTTGCAAGTACCAGGATAAATGATCAGGTAGCATGTTCCGCATAGCAGCACATGCTACCTGATAATTTACCCTGGTACTTGCAAAATCTCTGATGAATAAGAACATTATTCGTCAAAATTTTTGACGAATAACTGCAGTTATTGGTCGCTACGTGCCCAATAACTATATAATATACTATTATAAACAATACTATAGTACTTGACAAAAGTTTTCTTGCATCTGTAATTTTGATAGATTACATATAGGCACATAAAATTTTATTTATATATAATACACCATATATACAAATTGTGATAATACTCTTTGAGCAGATTTGATATTAAAAATATCTATACTGATTATCCCTTAAACTGTCCAGCAGTCAAATATGCTTCTAGAATATATTTTTTTATATTTTTTTGTAATTGCTTAAAATTTTATTAAGAATAAGTACCTCTATTTCTAAGCTAAAATAAAAATTTGAGATATTTTTAATTAATCATCTATAAAATTTATAGTTTAATTTAAAATTAATAAAGTTATTTAATTTTAAATTTGGCTAATTTTAAAATTTTTTATTAAATTTTTAAAAAATTTTTTAAAAAATTTTAAATTTTTATATGTTTTCAAAGAGAACAAAATTTTTCACTATTAAGAAAAGTTAAAATTTTATTTATAAAATTATAAAAAATTTATTATTTAAAGTTATTCTTTAAAACAAATTCTACAATTTGTATCAAAATTATAGTATACTTATACTTAGAATTTTAAAAAATTTATCAATAAGTAAAGATAAAATTTTGATTTTTTTTAAAAAAAAACAAATTTTAAAATTTTTAACTTTATTTTTTTCTTGTAATTTAAAAATAAATATTACTATATTATAATCCTTATTTTCAAATATTATTATATAAACTTTTTAAATATATTAAATTTTAACAAAAATAGATCAGACATAACAATTTTAATATTTTAGCAGCCAAATATGCCCATTAACTACTGACAGTTTAAGGAATATATGAAAACTTAGCCAAAATTATGCCTTTTTTTTGTATAAATAATATAAAATCTTTTTTTAAGCACTTATTTAAAAGGTCCCAAGCAACTCTTTCTGCTGATTATCAAAACACAAATTTTTGAAAAATAAATTAACTAAAAACTACAAAAAATACACAAAAGTCTTTAGAAAATCAAACTCAAAGCTCTAAGAAAAGAGGAAGAAAACAACAAGAAACACTCAATCACTTAAAGACTTAAGTTAAAAGAAACAGAAATAACAAAGAAATAGAAGAAGTTGTGAAATATCATCAGTATTTTTTTGCACTTTGCAAAAATTTGGAAAATTGGCCTTGATCCTGAATTGCAGATCTGTTTTAGTAATACAAAAATCACAACACATAATAAAAAATAAACAAAGAAAATATAATAATACCATATGACAAACTCAAACAAAAACAACAAATAAATATAACTATTAACAACAACAAACAACAATAGTAAAAAAACAACAAGTTACATGAATATACCAGTAATAGAAAATTATGGAATATATAGACCGAGGCCAAAAGAAGCTGAAGCAATAGCAGAAGTATATGATAATAAGACTGAAGAATATAATATAGAGTTTATCACAGAACAA